TTTATATTATTTATCGATGGATTTATGTTATTGAGCCACCAATTTCGAAGGCTTCCTTCTCCTTCAGGCGAGCAAAATAGTCTTATCACTCCGAAAATTCACGCAAAAAAGTTATGAAAGAATACAAACTTTATTTGCGAATAACTTCAAAATTACACACTTTTTCCGTTATGCCCATGATTATATAAAAGATTACTAAATTTCCTACAAAAGAAAAAAAAAAATCATCGAAATCGGACAATTGTTAGCAAAAATTCAGGTTATTGAAATTTGTATACATGTTGGTTCCAAACATTAATGAAGATTTAAATTAATATTCGTTTCCTTTGTCGATTATATTTATCGAAAAAGAAACAATTGATTTCTTTATCTTTTGATACGTTGCATTATTATATTTTCTTATTAATTTGGCATTTAAAAACAATATGCTGTGCGAATTTTTCGCACTGGCCTACTAGTCTATAATATTTAAGATTGTCTCAAAAGCATCTTTCTTTCTATTGTGTTTTCCACAAGGTAGGTACGAAGAAAGAAAACTTCTTCTCGTTTCTCTTTTTTTTTTACTACTCCATTTTGCAGATTTTGCGGAAGTTCTTTAAGTAGTCATTAATGTAAGGTATCAATGAAATAGTGCCATTTCTTGAAAAAAACAGAACTGCGAACTGCAGGTACTTTATTATAAATAGTTCTGAAAATCATTCAAATTGTGCACATTAAACCTTATAATAACACAATGCTAGTAGAATATGTTGACAATAATCTACACTTTTTTTTTCCTATCTAGACAAAAATGTTATATTATTAATTCAATGAACACGATTATTAAATTTATTTATCCGTGTTTATTGCTGCCTCTAACCTATAGGGCAATAACGTTTGCTTATAATCTGTTAACAAATTTTAGGGTTTTTTTCTACTGCCTTTTTATTGTCAAGTAGGTTTTCTTTTAGACTTAGCCATATTCAATTTTTTTTCATACGTTTCTAAATACTGGATAGACATGGTATTGGACTGTTCTTTGCACCTTACAACTTTCGGATGTTGGTGGGTCCAATCCTCTTAATGAATAGTCCGTTAGTTATATGTTATAATATTTTAACTAATTGACATTTCATTTGTTATATTTAGATATCACATATAGTTCCTTCATGTTATATATTAACCTTATGTAACATTTATATATGTGTGTAATGTGTAGCACTGGCGGATCTACGGGAGGGGGGAAGCTTTCGGGCTGAAGCCTCCACCAAAATGGTCAAATATAACCATGTTATATCGAAAAAAATATTAAATTATCTCTTAAAGTATAATTATTCGTGTAATTACATTCAAAATGGCTTTAGGAATCACTTAAACACCAGTTCATATAGGTAGTTAGTTTCTTTCTTATTTTCCAAGTAATTATCGTTATTTTTATGAAAAAAAAGCTTTCAGGCTGAAGCCTCCTCCCCCCAAAAATTAAATCCTGGATCCGCTAGTGATGTGTAGTTAGGTCTAAAAACATTTGAATATGTTGTGATACATCTGATACTGGTAAATTTGTAGTTTTCTCCTTCAAATGCATTTCTAGGCTGATGAAAACGTATTATTTGATAATTTTGAAGTTAGTAACGATGGCAGGAAATAATTATTTTTCGATTATTCATCATCTAAAGTTATAATATAATTGTGATTTTTACTACGATATCTATTAAAGGAATTTATTCGTATTTATAAATGACGAACTAAATGTTTCTGATCCTAAAATTTACATTTTAATGAAAATAATTGAAGCAATCGGCGGTTTTTTAAATTTTAAACGTACCTTTTAGGATAAGAAACGTTTCATCACCTATAAATACCGACCAATTATAATAGCCATTACAAAGGGGGGCTGAACTTTTCTCTCTCTATATGTATATTACTAAAAATTTAAAGAATTCCGTTAGCAACCATACAGATGTGGACAATTTAAATGCTTTTTACGCAAATGTAATTAACAATATTCGCATATAATACAAGAATAATTTAAAAGCATTACAAAAAGCATAAATTATATAAAATAATCCACTAATGTAAAACAATAGAAGGAAAATCTCTCTCCTTTTGACTATCCCCACAAGGACGATATAAATCAGTCTCTCCAGAAATGACGTAGGCGAAACCGCAATAGGGCATGACAATTTAATGTTCACTGAACAAATTATTTGCTACATTAATGATGAATATATAACGGAGGACTCTTCAACTTAATAGTCAATTGTTTTTAAATGTAAGGTTTAATGTTTAAAGTAAGGTTTTTTTTATAAGAAAAAGAGTATACTTTTTATGTATAGATTTGGATAAATTTATGTGTATCGAAAATAATATGACATAGTTCGTTAGACAAGTTAATTAAGTGTAATAACAAATTCTTTTTGTAATTGTGAATGTTAACTAATAATGATATTACAACTTTCCAGACTTGAAAATGACCCTTAGTATGGTCGAAACGTCGAATTAAATAGAGTATCAATATAATGTTTGGTGATAATTGGCCTAATTTATATAAAAATTTAAATATGTTGTGATACATCTGTTACCGGCAAATTTGTAGTTTTCGCCTTCAAATGCATTTCTAGGCAGATGAAAATGTATTATTTGATAATTTTGAAGTTAGTAACGATGGTATAAAATAATTACTTTTTCTATTCATCATCGTCTAAAGTTATAATATAATTGTGGTTTTTACTACGATATCTATTAAAGGAATTTATTCGTATTTATAAATGACATACTAAATGTTTCTGATCCTAAAATTTACATTTTAATGAAAATAATTGAAGCAATCGGCGGTTTTCTTTATTTTAAACGTACATTTTAGGATTAGAAACGTTTCATCGCCTATAAATACCGACCAATAATAATAGCCCTTACAAAGGGGATGATATGCTGAACTTTTCCTTCGCTTATAATATGCAGATCCGATTTTTTCTTTCTGAGATAATTTAATCCAAATGGAAAAATCAGTCTGCTCGAGTCGACATTCAATACCCACAAAATAAAGTGCTAAAAGCTTCTAAAGAAGTTCTCACTTCAAAAAAACATAAAGCTGATCAGGCTTAGGATAAACCACGGTAGAACAAATAAATATCTTCATCTAATGGGGCTAGCTGAGAGCAGTCAATGCCCAATATGCCAATGCTTGGAGGATCCAAGACACATTGCTTTCAAGTGCAAAAGGTTCGAAAAGCGAAGAAGAATTAGTTTAGGGTCGCCAACTACGGATGATGGGGCTAACTTTCTTCGGTCACTGAACAAAGATAACGCTCGTGACTTGTTAAAGTTCATGAATGGCATCAAAGCAGTCATATAATAAAAGTCGGCACTTAGTTAATTGCAATTCTAATTCATCTCAGTTTTTAACCATTAGTCTTGCTAGTTTCCATAATATCTAATATCTAATAATATAATATCTAATATCCAAGTCCCATATAAGTCACTTTCAATTATCATCTAACTGTAAATAATTAATATAAATCCAATGTAATTTCCGTCTAAAAACCTTAATTTCATCTCACTATGGCAAAGAAAATATTTTGCTGGCAAAATAGGACTTGCTTTTACAAGTCTTAAAGCCAAAAAAAAAAAAAAAAAAAAAAAAACATAAAGGTTATTAAAAGTATTCGTAGACAAGTGATAACGTTGATAACATAAAAATGACTCATTCCACTCCATCCGGAACCTTTTATATTGTTATCAAGATGCGAAACATTTATTTTAATAAAAATATAACTCACAAAGTTTTGCAGGCGTCTTGTCGGTATTGTATTATAGTGTCCAAACGCTTTTAGTTACTTTTCATCAAGTCTTTTTATCAAGTTTTAGCACACTTGAGATTATCCGACCAAGGTGAAATTTGTTACTATTTCATCGACCCGATGACGATTCGGTATAATGTTGGTACTGAGATGATGGATAAGCTTTGTAAAAAGACTCGGTTAAATTAGCTGGATCTTAGTACATTTGTTCCTCAAAATCCAGGTTATGATTTCATCAAGGTTTCGATTAGTTAATTTTTAACCAAGTGTTATCAGCTCTCCAAAACTGCGCAGCTGATATGTACGAATCTAAAAGACACGTTGTACCTGTAGCTGATATGATTATTTTGTTAATTTTAGTTACAATTTTACAAATGGTTGTCTGGTTGTAATTATAGTTATCTAGGCTAATAAATTTCGTTTATTTTGCTCAGAAGTTAATTAAATTAAAAGTGAAGAGGTTAGAAGAATATAAAAAAAAAAAAGAAAACTGAGCTTCGCACCACTTTACTTTTATATAAAAAAGCTTGCGTCAGTTCGTATCCACTAGTTCACTAAACAAACTTTATTAAGTTAACATTTATGAACTTCAAATATAAAGTTATTGGAGCCTCCAAATAAGTTTACAATCCTATGAAAATATGGGTTATTACCATTCATTTTATTGTTCTTTTATTTATCTATGTTTATGCTGCTAATATTTTATGTAACAAATAACCTGTTAACCTGCACATATTTTTTGTTGATCTGCGTCGAAGATAAACCGTTCCCGAGAGGAAACAAATTCAAATACCTCGCATCCACAATAACCTGTGGCAAACGGTGAATGGCAAAGGGTCAGACATAGACCAGCTTACAACAAACGCAAACAGAACTTCTCAAATTATAGGTTTGACAATTCTAAGATAAGGTCACTAGTCGATGAAACATAACAATTTTTGAATAATAATAATAAGACATGTTGGATTACTCGTTTGGTTATTTATTAAGGTTATAAAACCGTGAGCACATGCAATCCTATGACTCACCATTGTACAATCAATTGCTCACTGTGTAAAATGGAAGAATATTTGACAAACACAATATTTGACAATTCATTTCTTAGCAATTCGTCATTGGATTAAATGACGAATCCGCAACGCTATAACCGATTTAATTGTCACTAATTTCAAACTGACAATACATAATATATATTAACAATAAGTTGTTATCATAATCTACCTTGCTAAATCGAAGCGACACTGAACAGCTGTAGAACACCGACTAAAAACCGTGAAGCTCTTCAATCACTGATAAAGCTTATCAGGATGAGTGGGGCTGAGGATGTGTGATCATATTTTCACAGACAACACATATCCTAAGAATTTTCATGTAGTGATTTTTTTTTCTTAATTTCACCACTTCATTTGCAACAGCATGAGGTTTTGAGGCTATGTCTGTAACAATCAGTAGGTCTTTCTATTATGTTTTGAGTATGAATATGATATTTGTCATGATATTGAATGTATGCGGTAATTAATTGCTTATTCAATTGAAACAAATGCAATCATGCTTATTAATAGCAATTTCTCCTTTCTATTATTATTGAGGCTTTCAATTACAATATTTTTTTGGCGCTAAGTAACTGCAAGTACAATTACATGTAATCCAAATCTTAATACAATTTTTTTCTGTTGGATTTACTGGGTTTGTAGATATTTTATCGCATTAACTAGCCTTGTCTTAGGCTTTTCTTTCTAGTTCAGTTCGGAGTCAGAACTGATCATTTCACTGTTGCCCAATACAACTTATTACATAGATTTAATGAAAAAAAACATACTGGGATGATCTTACTGGATATCGAAAAAGCATCTGACACAATATGGCATAGTGGATAATTTTATAAACATATAATCTACCAATTCCCACCGTACGTCATACATACTTTCCCCAAAACATTTCCCATCAGCCGGTCAATCCCAAGGATACTGTATTTCCCCTATACTCTTCAACCTATATATATTCGATCTCCCATCATTCCCATCAGTCGAAAGATCCTTATATGCAGACGACAGGCCACTTACACAATAGACACAATAGAGACCAGACTTAAATCTTTATTTACCAGACTGACAAAAAAATGACAAATAAAAATAAACAGCAGCAATAATGTTCATCAAACTAAGGTCTTCCGTAGCTAATCATATTGCCCTCAGCGAAACTAGAATCCCCTGGGCTCAATCTGTTACCTACCGTGGACTGTAATTAGATAAAAAATTAATATTCACATCTCATACCAACAACAAATGCGGTAAACCTAAAAAACTTATTAGTGTAATGGCTCCCTACTTTTGAAGAAAATCTTCTCTTTCAATCAAAAATAAAATTATTTTAAATAAATAGCTTATACGCTCTTTAATAACATATACTTGTCCAGTATGGAGAGACTCAAACTATAAAAAATTAGAAAGTGAACAAAATGGGTGTATGAGAATCATAAAGGATTATCTCAGATACATAATAATAACAATTATTTTTTTTGTTTCTTCCCTACCTCGCCTTTTAGGCTATACGGGATTTTCCCGGGACGGGGAGTGAGGGCGGAGAATTTTGAATTTTTAAAACTTTAAAGTTTGAAAAAGTATTTAAAATTTACCTAATCAAGGCAGTGACATTGTTTAAAATACAATTTCATAGCACTTATGTGAAAGAAGAAGTGAAAAAAAAAATTCTCGGATGTATAAAGCATGTTTATAACCTTAAATAGATGTACTGTAGTTTAAAAATTCTAGATCTGATATTATATTTAAATAATTAGGTATTATTGGCCGTTTATTCCAAAAAAGCTTCATGTAACCTTTTGAAAATTAAATTAGTGAATAATTTGATGAATGTTTCCTTTGGGAAATCCAAATATTATCCACTAAAAATTAGTGTGACAACTATTGACATATCTATGGCAGACAATGAAATTCTCATGATTGAATTTTAGTAAACTTTACAAAGGAAAATAACAGTTTAATAACTAATAGGCGTGCAACCCTCAATCATTTATAGGTTGAATATATAGAGATATACTTTCAAATCTCTCAAGGTTTATTGTAAAGAGATTTACTGTGTTGTCTACCGTTGATATAATTAATAGAGGTTTTTGTTATTTTAATGGTCTTTATGGTTTGTTAGCTTAAATCTGTTTCACCATTAAAAATGCACTTTTATTTTTGGGCATGTTGTATGTTAGACATTCAACATTGCCAGAAAATAATTACTAATCATAGTAGAGAGGTAAGTGAAAGTTGTGTGTTGCGCGCACCAAATTATTAAATAATTATTATTGACTTTATTTATACAGAAATTTTTATTTAAATTATTATTATTTATTTATTTATATTTTGTATGTAGGTTTTTTTTAAAATCATTTTTCCAACGGTCAAATAAAAATAGTCCTTGTTACAGACCCCTTTTTAACAAATTACCATGGACTACAAGGTATGGTTCTAAAGTTTATAATTTTAAGGTTACCTTTAGTGTGAAATGTTGTACACTAAAACAAGATCGATTATTATGTTGATTTTGTAAATTATAAATGTCATTTAAATAAACTTATTTATTATAAACTTATTTATTTATTTTTTACTTGCGATCATGAAAATTTTTAAGTCTGAGTTTTCAACGGAAATCCACATTTTTAGGTGCCCTGAGTCCATATAACCAAGTCCCGAAAAATGGTCTGTGTATCTGTGTGTATGTGAACACTCTAGCTCGAAATAAAAGTCGTACGAAACTGATATTATGTATTTAAGATAGGTATATGCCTTAGATGTCCTAGCAACTTTTTCGTTAAAATCGGCTAACCGGAAGTGCCATTTTATATAAACGCTAAAACACATTTTTTCAAATTTTCTCAAAAACGGCTCTAACGATTTTGATTAAAGTCTGTTTATAAATGTATAATTAAGTGGTCTTTAATATCATTTAGGTCTTATCCCCATTGATGTCACTTTACAGGGGTAAATGCCCAATGTTCATATATGTCTTCCTCTAAAGTACCTTTAATATGGTTTATTTTAAAAAGTTAATAATTTCACATTATTCAAAGTTACGAAAAAATGCTAAATATAACTTTTGAAAGAATTTGATAAGTTAATAAAGGAGAAAAAAAATAAGAATGCAGAAAAACCTGCGTTGCTATAGACTGTAGCGCCTAAACGAATGTACCGATGGTTGTACCGAATGTAACTCAATATTATACACTTTTTTGTGGATATTGTATATGATTTTTTTGGATATTATTCTCACATCTGGATTGAAGAAAGAATGTCGATTGATTGAAAGAAGGACATCATTTATCCACAGTGTAAGCTAAGTGACGTCCTTCTTCAGCGTACTTATGAACGTTTGTTTAAAATTAACTGAATTGTAAGTAGTAAGTAAAGAAGCCTTCTGGGCATGCGCTAATAATCAGTGACCAAGATTAGACGCACAGTTAACCATTAATGATGGACACACTCGTTAGAAACTTGTCCCTTTCTTTGGTACGTTTACGTTGATGCGAACAACTTATTTAAAATTAAATTTCTACACTCCAACGTTAAACGTCTATGAATTTGCTGGAATAATCTTGGACGTAGGCGCAGACTTTCCGTTTTGATTGGGGAGGGAGTGGACAACAAAAAACAAGGCAGTAGTTCTTATAATGTGTAAAAAATCAACAAAATTATTGTGAAACAAGAAAATATAGTACATATGTTTGTTAGAAAGATATAGAATTTCTTTATGTGCATATGGATATACTTGAAAGTATCTAAACAAAAGCATTGGATTTATTACAAGTTGTATGTATTAAACATGGAAGTAAGGGGAAGAGCTTTCACATAGGTGCATTTCCATAACTTTTCCAGCTAAGCATGAATTATGTTAAAAAACCGAAATATAGTTTTAATTTCTTTGTTTTTACAACCTTAAAATAAAAATACAATGCTTTCAGTGTCAAACTAGTTATGTAAAAATGTCAATATAATGTAAAAATATTCTCTATATAATATATTTTTACTTTCGCTTACCTATATATGTAATATATTGTAAGAGTAAGTATTGCGATCATGAAAATTTTTAAGTCTGAGTTTTCAGCGGAAATCCACGTTTTGAGGAATCCCCGTTGATGTCACATTACAGGGCGTAAATGCCCAGTGTCACGTGCGGATCTACGGGGGGGGGGCTTTCGGGCTGAAGCCCCCCCCCCCAAAATGGTGAAATATAACCATGTTTTATCGAAAAAAATATAAATAAAGTATCTCTTAAAGTATTATTTTTCGTGTGATTCATATTAAAAGGGCTTTAGGAATCATTTAAACACCATTTCATACAGGTTGTTAGTTTCTTTCTTTTTTTCCAAAGCAATTATCGTTATTTTTATGAAAAAAAAGCTTTCGGGCTGAAGCTCCCCCCCAAAATTAAATCCTGGATCCGCTAGTGCCCAGTGTTCATATAGGTCTTCTTCTAAAGTACCTTTAATATGGTTCATTTCAAATAACTAACTATCTCTCATTATTAAAAGTTACGAAAAAATGCTAAACGTAACTTTTGAAAGAATTTGATAATTTAATAAAGGAAAAAAAGCAATAAACAAATGCTTATCCAGGTCGAAAATGAATCTCCGGAAATACTAGTCAGAAGGTATACGTATAATATATCGTTGGAAAGCGGAGAATTTTAGAAAAAACAATATCTAATATAGAAAGTTTCAGAAGGTAATGGACAGCGACAAAAAAATTACCAATAATAATTTTTCATAATTCATACATGCCAATAACAAAATGTCATTTCGAACGAATCGTCTAGTGCATTGAGGTTTATATGGCTAATTTGAAAAAAATCATTAATTTTTTTCCCGTTTGATTGTAGACGACTCGTTATCAGGCCTTTGGCACTATTAATTTCCCGTTTTGTTTCTCCAACACAGCGTCGCCCCTAGCTACTGAGGAATTTTAATCCGAATGCAAAAATCAGTCGACTCCAGCCAAATTTACCCGAATGAGCTTTACATTTAAGTCTTTCAGTTGTCAGAATGACTTTTAACATTTTTGATTATTAATTTTTGTGATATTTCTATTGGGATAATTTTGTTGTTGTTGTTTATTTAGTGAAATTTACAACTGTATACAAATACGACTAGTAAATATGCCCAAATATAAATAATGGCATGTACAGGCTTGAAGAGATACTACCCAGTGGTAGCACTCTCTAAATAATTTTAAGTAAGAAGATCACGAGGCCATCTCCTTTTCAGACG